TTTTTTTTTTTTTTTCATGAGTATCTTCGTTCTTCTCTACTCAAGCCCCGCCGATACAATGAAAAAAAAAAGAGGTACAGGGTGTTTTGAGTTCGTGGTTGCCGAAATATTAGATCAAAATTTATCACCCCCCCCCCCCGGAAATGCCTTAAAAATCCTATACGAAAACCACAAAATTCCAGGAACGCCTCAAATCGATTTGGTCCCTGAACAACTCTTGTGGCAAATAGGATGTAGATCACTACTAAAAAAAAAAAGTGAAAAAAGTGAAAAACTCGTGAAGTTATGGCCGGTCAATCAAAATCGGTCTCACACTTTCCGGCACTGTACATGGGTGCGGTCACACAGCAGCAGCAGGAGGGCAATCGCCCCGGGGGGGGAGGAATCGTTTACTCCGCCTCCCCTCCTGCGGCGCTTCTTTGGGTTGTCGACTGTCACCCCGAGAAGGGTTCGCCACCCCGTAGCTTCCACGCTATGTTGTGATATCCTCTTGTGTGTACGTCGACACAAGTTTCCATATCTGGTGTTGAAACTGCAGAGTACCACATACGCGCACGAGGACGCATGTGCAAGGGTCTTCTCCCGAGGCCTCGAAGAAAGCAAACGAGAATTGAGCACGAAAATGGTGTGCAGATGCAGAGGGTATCTGTTGCATACGTCGCACTTGGTATAGAAACAACCAACGCACCTGAGGACCAGAACACTAGAGTATTCCGATACGAAATAGCAATAGTTGTAAACGTATTGATCTCTTCCTTGACTAACTTATACTGAGAGTTTGGGGTGTGGTCTGTCGAGCGCCATGATCCCGGCGCCTTGGATATTTGATCGCGTGTGGTGCTCATGCCCTGGGGAATGTGCATGTGGCTTTTTATCTCTCCTTCCTGCCTTACATAAATGTTTTTCTGAGGTGCGTACAGCCCTCTCGCCAACCATATGAGCGCGGTTGACCTTACTTCCCTCTACGAGCGTCGCACGACCCCGGCCAGTCCACACGTACGTAAGTAAGGGGTGTTTGTTGGTTTCTGCAGTGATGGTAAGTTCATTTTGTTGTGATTGTACACGGAGTCATTTACGAGTTCTTTTTCGTTTGTTGGCCCAACGGACTCGCTTGCCGATTTGTGTTGATCGTCACGAATGATCCCCTTCAACCAAGCCACCCTCTCTGGCTTGAACCAAAACGGCCTGCCTGCTTGGTCGCGTGCGAATCTTTGTCTCTCCGCCCCTTGTCTCGGTTTATTGTGTCCAGAACTCCCCGGAGATCATTTATCCCGTCCCTCCGCGGATTAGCCATCGTTCCGGACGAAACGTCGACGGAGGGCGAATCGTAGTCTCATCAGTCAGTGAGTGAGCGATGACCACCTCCACGGGAAGGCCGAGGCCATTCCTGAACGGGGTCTTCAGAACAGCCTGCAACTACTGCGTGAGGTGCGTGTTTGGATGCAGGCTGCACCCACCCCCCAGTAGTCCTTCATGAGTAGGTTGCCCTTCCTCACTGCCGCGCAAGGGCATTTAGCTGTAACTGTTGTGGTTGAGTCTTTTTTTCCCGTTTCCATTAGGGGACTTGATCACCATGTGTGGTCGAATCAACTGATGCCCGCCCACATCATAACATAGTTATCTCTACTCAACGTTAAGTTTCCATTGTCGTACGTACCCCAAGCGAATGTACCCGCCCAAAACCCCGAATGTCCGCTCACTGCTTTGCCTTCCTTACCCCCTTTCCTCCCGACGAGCAGTAGCAAGCGGGGTTGCAGCGGCGGGGAGCCGTGTGACCAGTGCGAGAAGAGGGGCAAGCCCTGCATCTACGCGCAGCGCCGTAAGAGCGGACCCCGCAGCCGTCCGGCCTCCGGCCGCTCGAGTAAGGGCCGTTCCCGCACCAAGGCTCGACGAGAGAGCCGCGCCGCCGCCGCCGCCGCTGCCGCCGCCGCTGCCGCCGCTCCGGTTGAGTCTCCGTCGCCGGTCATTGCGAGGTCTCCTCCGTCCCCTGCTGCTTCCGGGCTTGCAGGAGAGGACAGGGTGGGCGTGGTTTCTGGGTCTTGGGACGGCGGCGAGGCGGCGGCGGAGGTAACGGAGGTCGAGCGGCGCCGCGGCAGCATCGGCGAGGACGCCTGGGAGAGGGAGCGGCGGAGGCTGGGCTTCACCACCCACGACGACAGCCACCACCACCTACAGCAGGAGCAACAGCAGCAATCGCCCTACTATCAGCCCGCCGGGGGGAAGCGGAAGCCCCCCGCCCTCGTCATCCCGCGGCCCCACCGGACTGACCCCGGTTCGACCACGAGCCCCCTCCTCGTGAGGTCATCGCCGGCGCCGCCGGCGCCCCCGTCGGGAAGGCTCGAGGTGCCGCTGCCGCCTCGGTCGGCTCACGTTCTGTCGCCGCCGCAGGAGGGAACGGCAGGGAGCTTCGGGGGCTCCCCCTCTTGTTGTTCCTCCTCCTCGACCCCCTCCCCGTTCTTCACCAGACAGGCGCCATCCTCTCAGCCGAGCGACGACGGGAACAACAAGCGGACGAGGGTGTCGTCGCTCACCTCGCCCGCCCCGCGGACTTCCCTCGCATCTCCCCCGCCGCTCTCCCTGACGCCCTCATCCTCCTGCTCGGCCCTGCCTCCCCGAGGCTGCATCCCGTCCGTCCTGGCTTCGAGGTGCACGTCCGTAGACGGTGGCGGTGGCGGCGGCGGCGGCGGCGGCAGCCTAGGTCCCGTTCGCGGCGGGCGATCGGCTGCTGCCGCCTCTTCTTCCGCGGGAGGTTGTTCTCAATCATGGTCTAGAACGGCCCCGGAGTCGCAATCGCTTTCGCCGTCGTCTTCGAGCCGCGGCCGCGATTCCGGTCAAATCGTCTTCAGTGCCGCCTCGGAGAGGGGTGGGTGGGTGAAGGCTGAAGCTGCGGCGCCCCACCCGGTGTTGTACAGCGTGTCTTCGGGCTCGGCCATGTCGCTGCCGGAGTCGAGCGCCGGCGAAGGGTCTGCGGGGATGGAGGCGTCGTCATCAAACGCCAGGGTGGGGTCGTCTTGGGCCGCCACCGCTGCCGCCGCCGCCACCGCCGCTTTGCCACGCCTGGGTACGGGTTATGCCGGGGAAGACTTCGATGACATGAAGACGTTGTACGAGCCGCTGCTGCTTCAGAAGGAGGAGGACAAGCGCCGCCAGCTCCGCGAGGAGCGCCGGTGGGAGCAGGAGCGGGAGCAGCAAAGGGAAGAGCTCGAGAATGAGCGGCTCCTTCGGAGCCACCAGGAGGAGCAGCAGCAGCAGCACCTGCGCCGAGACCAGCTGCTGTCGAGGCGCCAGATGTCCCTGGGGGCCCTGCTGATGGCCGACGACGACGAGCTCGGCGAGTCGTTCAAGCAGTGCCACATCACTGACGACAGCAACGGCCCGTCGGGAAGCCACATCACGGACGACAGCAACGGCCGATCGAGGAGCGTGTCCGGCGGCCTGGTTCCCGTGGAAGCCCTGCGCCGCGTTGTTAGTGACACCGCCCAGTCATCAGCGCCGGCTTCGGCTTCGCTGGCGCGAACCATCTCTCCCGCCGAATTGCCACGCGGCGGCCCGGGCGGTATGGAGGACTGCGCTTCATCTTCGTCTACTTCCACCGCCTGGTACGCCGAGGGGGGGCGCGGCGGCGCAGGCGGCGGCGCCGGCGGGATGCAGCTTGAGGCAGGGGATGGGGACAAGAGTTTATCGCTGCGGCCGCCGTCCCCGCCGCACCGCCGGGTCTCGGGCATGACAGAGGAGGCCCTGCCGTTGTCGCCTTGGGGAGATTGCGGGGCGCCGGTGGCGGCGGCAGCAGAAGGGTCGTGGGGGCGAGGGCAACCGCTTGTTCCCCGCGCCTTGCCGAACGGCAAGGCCGAGGCGGCGACCGCTCGGCCGGACTGCGCGGCCCTGGCGAACATGCGCACGCCGCTAACCCGCGAGGCTTCCCTCATGCGAGCCGTGGAGGCGTCTGCCGCGACCTCCGGCGGCTATGGCGGCGGCAAGCAGGTGATGATCCTCGAGAACGGCGGCATGAACGACATCCGCGCCCCTCTGCTCCGGGAGGCCTCACTCATGCGGGCCATGGAGGCCGTGAACTCCTTCACCACCGGGGATGACGGAGGCGTCGGCGACTGCGGGGAAGACACGGCTGCGGCTGCGGCGGAACTCATCTCCAGCGCCGGTGGCGCAGACGACGATCTCGGAGACGTATTCTGCGAGACTTCGGCGGCGGCGCTCGCTGCCTCCACGTGGTGAAAGGACCCCCCCCTGCGCGCGCTCTCTCTCTCTTTTCTTGTACTGTGTTGTTTGAGCAGCGTGTTCCTGTCGTCTCGTGCGCCTGCTATCGGTCGTTTCACGATCTTGTCTTTTTTTTCTTGTGGGAATTTCTCGCCGCTGTAGGCAGCGGTTAGAAGACGGCTGTCACTAAGTAGTTGAGTAGGTGGTTGTCATTCAACACCGTGTTTTGTTGGGCGTGTATCGTTTGTCTTGGTCCTTCGCTGTTGCTGTTGCTGTTGCTGAGCTCGGCCTGAAGGCCTGGGTATGTATATCCCTGTCAAGGTTTTAGTCAATTTTCTTAGCTGACGGATAGGGTTCCACATCCATCTCCGTTGTTGTTGTGGGCAGTTCTCTGCGAGGTGGTACTCTGTCTGAATGTTTTGTGTTTTTCGATGGTTGGGGGTAAATAGGCTTGAGGTTAGAGTCTACTCTACGAAGGAGATGTGTGCAGCTGGTCCGGCGGCAACTGGGAGGCAAACCGAACCTGTACAAATTCAAGGAATGCCACCCGTCGCTGGAGCCATCCGCGGGAGCCACAACCTGAACCGTCCGTGAGCGCGAGCAGTTGTTTTCGTCGGTTTTCTTTGTTTCAAGTCCGTGTGCGACTTTCGTGCTTCGTGAACCAGTATATAATACTGTTGTCTCTTGTCCACAGACGTTATTTTTTTTTGTGTGTGTTTCTTAACATGCATGTCGGGTTCGGTATTGTTTGCTCGGCGTCGTCCCGGGCGTACTACATGAACCATATTATGTGCAGTGCGCGCCAGGCTTTGTTTCCGTCGGTGTTTCGAGCCACTCAAAGGTGTTCAGTTGGTGCGTGTTACGGAGGTATATGCACTGCCCGCGCTGGCCGGTAGCGTTGCAGTACCCAGTTTCCTGTCGATGCTCTTATTAGCCGGCCAGGCAGGGTGGCAGACAGGGTGGTTTACAGTTCGGCCCACTACCATGAGCGATACCGTGGCCATGGCGCCTGGCCGGCGTCCTACTTCGATCGAGTTAGCTTCGAGATGGTTGTACGAGTTGGTGTCAAGTTGATAGGGGTGCGTGTTGGGTGTTGGTGGAACCCGCTCGAAAGCTGCTTGGCCTCTAGGTGGTTGTGGTGACGTACGTGAACGCTTGGTCAGTCAATGTTTCAGGCCGGTCGCTGCTGTTTAGGTCGAGCTACTGTTGTTGTGCGTTGGGGTGTGACGGAGTGAGCAAACATTTTTGAATTAATGTGCGCGATCAACCAGCGTCGGTCCCCTTGCTAGCGCCGCCTGTCCCGTGTCCCCCCTTCTTTTTTGTCGGTGGTTTTTGTTCTGCTTGGTGTGGCGGTCAGAGTTGGGATCATTTGGCCTATATACTCGTCCAGATTGTTGTCAACCAGAAATGTGCGTCTTTACTGAGGCCACATGATGTATTTTTGATGGATTGTGCTTTATAGTCTACTATAGCAGATGATATGTAGCCGTTGTCATGCACGCGTCAGCACCACCGGTAGTTTGGCCGTTCGCCACCGACGGACGCCTTTTGTTCGATAAAATATGTTTCGGTTTCTGCGTGGCGGTCGTCGTGCTACTGGCGGCTTTACCGTAGCACGATAGCTGGGAACTTTCTCGACCGCGAATGCATGCATGCAGGCCGACGTTGCGCTCGTAGCATGTTTCCCTGCCGACAGACAACTTCCCAAGGGGGGTCTCGGGAGGGAAATTTCGTGCGGCGTGCATGTTGACACAAGCTATGTAGCATGTTGGGCGCTATATAATATGCCGATGTCGGTTCTTCCAAATTTTGCAGCGAACCCCGGGTTGACTAGAAAGACTCGAAGGCAGTAGTGTAGTCTAGAGGCAGTAGTGTAGGCTAGTGGTGTTGGCTTTGCGTTTGCGTCTGTACTTAGTGAAAGCAGCGACATGTCAAATGACTTCACGGGGGGGCTGGCTGCTGGTGACAAATAGCATGTGCTCTAGAAGATGTGGATCGTTCAACGGGTGTAGGTAACTATTCGAGACAGCAGTTGAGCTGTTGCGTGCAAGTGCGTGCGATGTGTGCGAGAAAACGATCGCGATCAGTGCGATTCTAGTGGAATCAACTTAGTTGCTGATGCTGCTGCCTGCCACGTCTCTCAGCAATCAGCGAAAACAAAACCAAGCTTCTGAGTCTGGCACATTTTTCCGGTAGATTTTTTTGGCGTCAACGGATCGCCCACGCGGCAGCAAGAAAAAAAATTTCCCACCCTTCCAAGCTCAGCGCTTTGGCGACAAAGCTCCCATCATCGATTGTCGGCAGTTGCAACTTGAGACGAGTGAGAATGAGGCTGAAAACGAAAGCAGATCTCGCCACCATGCACCAACCACGTCCGAAAAAAAAACAAACGAAGTGGCAAGGAACAAGTCCATAGTTGGCGGTTGTGCCGCAGACTTGTTTAGTCAGCTTTCACATGGGGTGAGAACATGATCGTTCCAGAGCCAACGATGGTGCCCGCGACGTTTTCGAAAAATCCCGGTCAACAACAAAAAAACCTCACCAGTAAGGGGTCGAGAGGAAAGCCGGCACCCCTGCCCGTGGTTCGCCTTGCACCCCACACGGCAGTGCAGATAATGTTTTCCGCAGCCTTCTTCGTGACTCGTATGATAACACTCGTTTTTCGACCAACACCAACAAAAAAATGAAGGAAACAAAGTCTAACGAATCTACAGTTTCCTTCTCTTGGAGTGATGGCTGTTGGGAAAGCTCGACCGCGTCCTTCATGCACTTCGTCGCCATCGTGCCCACCGACCTTGACTCGCACCTTCAATGCCCACGAGATTCGATAGGGCAACCAATAACAGGCAGACCAGAAAAAAAAAAAGCAGCAGTAGCGACAGTGAAGGTAAAGGTATGCCTTTCACTCACATTACACGAGGAGGGGCAAACCGTCGATACATCAAGGTTTCTTAACTTATCACGAACGAGAGCCTAAGTGCAGTCGGGCAAATGAAAAACGGAAACCATACACATGGACGGGATCCGCCCTACCAACCTATTTTTGACGCCCTAAACAGCAGTGGTCGAGGGTACCACAATAGCACACCACCCTGGTCAAACCGTTTCTCGATAACTCAGCGTCAAGAGACACACGGGATGGAGACCACGCAGAAAAACACAATTGTGAGGAAGCGCCGGTGACATTTTTCCATGGCACCGATCGGCGCGCTACTGAGAATTTTTCTCCCGAGCACACGCCTCGACGCCAAAACTACAGAAAAAGCCAAGTCACGTACGATAACAAACACCCACAAACAGAACGATAGAAATATTGGTCTCCACAAAAGTAACAGCAGTGGCCCAAATCGGGTACACCCGGTCCAAACACGGCCATAATCGGGTAGCCCAAGACGCTGCCGAGAGAGACCGCATGCCACCATGTTATTGGCCGACACCCACTCCTACCCGACCTTGACCGTCTTTACACCGGGTACACCCGATCTTGGCTACTCACCCCCCCCGAGGGGTACCGTTGCCCTATCCGAAAATGGCTAGGCTGTTCGACCAAAACCCATGCACACGTCAACAACGCTCTCGAATTCGGACGTTCTGACGGCCCGGCGGGAGGAGGCAGGCCCCCCGCCGGCGGTGGAATTCTCCCTTGGGGTGAACGGCAGGCGGTCTGTGCAAATGATCGAGAAGAAGAGGTGGATGAATCCCTCCCTCACGAAATGCGACACACACGGGACTCATCCAAGAAAAAAAACATATACATCCTCTCCTCCCGCTACTTTTTTTTTTGTTTTGGCGACAAATGACGGCCAGTGGTGTGCGTCCGACCCGTGATTGTGTGCATGGGTTGTGGTCGAACAGCCCAGCCATTTTCGGATAGGGCAAAGAAAAACCGGGTACCCCTCCGGGGGGTGAGCAAGATTGGGTGTACCCGGTGGAAAGACGGCCAAGGTCGGGTAGGAGTGGGCGTTGGCCAATAACATGGTGGCATGCGGTCACTCTCAGCAGCGTCTTGTAGGGGTACCCGATTATGACCGTGCTTGGACCGGGTGTACCCGATTTAGGCCACTGCTCCAACAGCATCGTCAACAGGAAACCCTAATCGTTGTAGCGCAACCAAAGACTAGTCCATCAACACCACCACAGTGACAAAAACTCTCCACCACCCGCCTGTCAAATACTCCTCCTTGAAGTGCTACCACCCCTCCTCTGCCGTTGCTGTGCCAGCAAAAGGCTCCCCATCACGAGTAGACCCCCCGTGGCGTGGTACGGCCGCAGCGCCGCCAGCGTGAAGTGGTACCTGAGTGTGGTCTGGCCAGACCTTACCGCCGCTGACTGGAGGGTAGAGCACGCCTGGCACTGCGGGTAGAAGCGCTGGGACAGGGTCTGCCGCAGCGCCCTCCGCCACAGCTTGGCGTTCGCCTGGTTGTGGTTGTGTACAGAACGGGCCCGGAGGTGTGACGTCAAGAAAAAGCGGGCTGACCCTATGCACACAAGTGTCATCTTTCATCATCCGCAGCACCAACCCGGAAGAGTACGACTACGACCACAACAACAACAGTAACAACCACATGGGCATGAATGAGAACAACAACAGTAGCAACAGCAGCGGCAGCTGCACTATCATCTCTCACCAGCTTGACCGTCTTGAGCGGGGGCATGTGGTCCGCGATGAAGGTGGCCGGAGCCCTCGTCCCGCAGGTGTGGCACCCGAAGTTCTTCCCAAGAACCGCCAGGGCTTGCCTCTTACCGTCGGAGGCGTACTCCAGAGTCGCGGGCAGGGACGCCGATAGCCTGGAGAGAGAGAGAGAGAGAGAGAGAGAGAGAGAGAGAGAGAGAGAGAGAGAG